GGGGGGGGGGGTTACCTTGGTTGCTGATTGGCTAATGGTTACACAAGCCAAAACATCGTTATGACATCACAAAGTGGCCAAAATCTGATCAGCTCATTTTCAGACAGGTTTTTATATAAATGGATCAGGACAAAAAGAGAGAGAATATTTGTTCCTGAAACTTTCAGAGTCTCTTTCCACAGAGGGGACACATGTCAATGTAGAAGAGACATGAAGAAGAGGGGACACATGTTGAAGTAGAGGAGACATGAAGAAGAGGGGACACATGTTGATGTAGAAGAGACATGAAGAAGAGGGGACACATGTTGAAATAGAGGAGACATGAAGAAGAGGGGACACATGCTGATGTATAAAAGACATGAAAAAGTGGATTTTGCACAATAGGTGACCTTAAAAGGGTGTTAAATAACATTTGGTGATGATTAATGGTTTGTGTGTTCATGTAAGAGCTGTTAAAACAGACTGTTCAAATCTCACTGGGAACACCAAAGTAAGTTGGGAGAAAGGAACACGACAGGAGGGTTAAGAATATCTGGGTCCCAGTGGAGTCAGGACCCCCCCTCCCCCTCACCTTCTGCCAGCCTGCTGAGGCTCTCCAGCATGCGAATGGTGGTGCGAGCGGCGTTGCGGCCGTCGCTCTGTCTCTGCAGCTGGTAGTAACGCGTCAGGATGATGTTAGCGTCCTCGGACATCTGTGGCTGTAAGCGCTTAATCACACAGAAATAAGCCTTGATCTTCTCCATGGACCACAGAGTGGCCCCCTCAGCAGGAACACCTGAGGAACAACCAGAGGACCCACAGTCACACATTTGCAATGATAAGATATGAACTGTGCCTGCCCTAACTGCTTAAAGTGCACACTACAATAGTCAAGGAAAGTGACAGCAGTGTTTGCAGCTGAAAGGTAATGATCCAAATAGGAAGACAAGAGAGCATTCCACTAAGAGCTGGGGAAAAGCCTTTGTGCTTTAACTGCTGCTGACATCTCAATTGTACTGAATTAAATGGTGCTGGTTCAGGTGATGAAAAAATATTTAGAAAAAGTTATAAATATTAGGCCCCAGTTTGTTTCTTTAGTTGACTTCACTTGACTGTTCTCTTCTATAGAATATAAGATGCACAGGATTGTTTTTCAAAGAGTAAAAGTTATTTTGCATTTCAAAGTTTGATCATCTCCAGTGATTATTTTGCTCTTGAACCTTTGATAACTTCAACTGAAAGTGTTGGCGAAGAGAACCAAGTTCAAAACAGTCAACATGATATGAAATCAAAATGAACATATTAACATCATACTTAAACAGAAACAATCCTAATAATGATTTAATATCCCATTGAGTGTTCGGCTGACGACATACTGCTTTTTTCGTTCTAAAATGTTTTTTTGTGTATTTTACACACTGCCTTTATAAATTGTATATATTTACTGATGTACAAATAGTATATATAGTACATATTGTTAGGGATTAATTCTGTCTTTACTTCTAAATATTTAACCTTATTGCCTGTTGATATTTACAACCAACCCTGCTTCTTATCTCCCGTAAGGAATGTGATAATGGAGTCGTATGTTGATACTACCAGGTTTTATGGCCTGACCTGGCGGGCACAGGGGGGGTTTTACGACTGTGAGAACGCGGGCTTCTAAGCACCACGGATGTCAGAGACATCTCCATTGTTCCCAGGTGTTCACGTACCTTCCCCCAATATGTGGGTTGACTCTCTGTAAACTAGTTAAAGGGTCTACCAAGATGCGAGGCTGATCAGATTTGACATGGCAACCCACCCGTGCAGTCAGAAACTTGGATTGTGTGACTTGTGATGTGAATTTCTCCGGCCGATGCTTGTATTAAAGATCAGTGTTTGACATCAGAACTCCTGCTCGTCCTGTGTCTCCTTCATGAGTCGGTGACTCCCACTGCATTGCTACACAGAAGTTTCCTCCACACATATATATACTCAACTCTATCTGGTAGGAGGTTGAATAAAACCTTGTGATTAAAAGCACAATAACAACAATTAACCTTTCTGTTGTCCTGGGGTCAAATGTTGACCCATTTCCAAATGTTGTTTTAAGTCAAAATGTGTTTTTTTCTTCTATCCAATTGCCACAAATTACATGGATGGTTCCATACTACGTTCTTCACAAGAAAAATGAATAATCACTGCTTTGAGTGAGTGTTATTTTATTCAAATGATAGCCTCTGTGGTCCATTTTTATTTAATTTCTATATCAGTCAGTCATTGTTCATCAACCCTTTTCCCCTTCGTTGTATTGCTTTAATCATTTAGTTTTGAGATGGCAGAGCCCTTCCTGTACCTTTCTCCTCCAGAATGAAAGAGGAGATGACGCGGTCCCACTCTGGGTTCCTGGTGTCCAGCAGAACCAGCACCAGGTCGAAGCGGCTGAGCAGCGGGCTGGCCAGCGCCACGTTCACTGACAGCGGCTCGTTGGGGTCGTAGCGCCCCTTAGGGTTGGTCGCTGCCAGGATGCTGGTCCGAGTGTTCAGCTTACACACTATGCTGCAGAGGAGAGAGTGGAGATATAGAACAAACAGAAAGGTCAGGCTTAGGGTTCATGCCCATCTTAACCTTGCTTACCAACCATATTTAAGTTTTGTCGAAAAAGAGTAGTTAATTAAATTAGTTATTAAAAACTGATTCGGACAGATCTCATTTTTTCACAGTGGTGTAAAAATAACTAAGATTTACTCAATTACACTACTTAAATACAATTTTGATGAACTTGAACAGTATTTCAAGTGTTTTGCTACTTTGTACTTCTACTCCAATACAATTCAGAGGTAAATTGTGTACTTCTACTCCACTACATGTATCTAATAGCTTTAGTTACTTTACAGATTTGGATTAATGATGAAATATAATCAAGTCTTAAATCAGACTTGAGTTCCACCTGGAGTAAATCCACAAGCTACCCTGCAGTATACAAAGTCATTCAAACTAGCTGCACCTTTACCAGCTTTGAGAACACTTTCATGATCAATCATTATAAAACATATCATATCTATTATTCTGAAATGGATCAATCTGCGAAATGACTACTTTTACTGTCGCTACTTTCACTATATTTTGATGATAA